GAATTCTACCATTTCATGGTCGCTAAGCCCAAGACGGCCTCCGACCACCACATCTCCCACCAGTCCTTCTCTGTTTGTAAACAGAGTGTGTTTGTACACACACTCGCGACACTGGCATTGCCAGCTCCACAGACCGCCACAGACAAGGCGCTGCCTTCAACAGCACCCACATATAACACTGCCTGGGCTCATGTAAAGTATTAAGTATAGACACCTGAGCCTCCTTCCTCCTCTCTGGCTAGTGCAGATTGAAGTTCAGTGGTGAAAGCCCTCACACAACTCTCTCCAGATTCACAAGCACATGCACGTTCTTGGATCCCCTGAGTACCAGCACAGCCCCTCTGCCCATCTGCTACCCCTGCCCTATGCACCAGCTCGCCCAGCTTGAGGCTTGCTGGTGAGTTACGCACACACCTCCAAGCACGCCAGGTTTAGGGAAGATACAAACACTGCACACACACCACACACCCCCACTTCCAGAAGCCAGCACCACAAGCCCAGGGGTGCCTACACCCCCAGTGTGACCCTGGTTGCTGGCCCTAAATTTAGTCAAGCCACCCTTTCTGCACCAATAGCTAGCACTCCAGGCACGCATGCTTTGAGACTCACCAACACACACTCCCAACATCTGTGGTCCCTCCAACTACGGATGCAGAGACCCTCACCCGCTCCAGTTGCCCACACCACAGTCCCATCAGTTTGTTTGGAGACTGATGGTCTTTGTCATCATTTCTGTTAGTCCCTGTCTGTCATGTTTGTGTCTCTGTGTTTTTGTTTGTTGCTGCCCCCTTTTCTTGTTATCACTTTTGCATTGAAAAGGTCCTTCTTTGGGAAACCTTAATGAAGCAGACTCTCACCTTCCACATACCCTTACAATAACCAATGTGAAACTGTAAATAAATACGTAAGTTACTTAGGAGAATATTTAACCATCTTACTGGTATGTTTTCCATCTGCATTAAGTTATACATTTAAACAGTTAAACTACTGATACTGAATTCAGAATGGTAATTAACAAAATATTGTTGATAACAGGGTCAGAGTCCTGTTTTTAATGGTGGTCTGCTCACTGACGAAAATATTTAAACCTAAAATGAGGGTAGTAATACAGAATCTGTGCCCATCCAACATGGGAATATCTAGTCCCCAACATCTGAAGTTGGATCCAAAGGCCACTGAAGTATGGGAAAATTACTAGTTTCTGTTTCCCCATTATGTTTGTGTAAATCTGGAGAAGGTCTGATGGCATCACTTTGAGAAGTAGATCTAGCCCTTGCTGACTGCTCAAGTTCTTTTGAAGGGAGAATATTAATCTCATGGAGCCTGAATGTGTACCAAACACAATGCTAAAGTCTTCAATTTTCCCTTTTGTGTTCTTTTTTTTTTTTTCCCCTCTAGAGGCTATTCTTAGTTGCAAGCACAAATTTTCAAAAGGGATGAGCTTAAGAATAGAATGGAAGAAAATCCAGTCTCAAGGAGTCTCATTTGTCTACTACAATGGTGAATTTACAGGTACAGTACTACAGGCTTAGACTGATGGTTTAACATGTCATTCTCTAGCATAGTTATCGATTCTTTCTTGGGCAATAACGTAAGGAAAATGAGTGAAAGAGAATGCTCTTGACTCTTCATACTGAACACCTGTCCTTTTGAGGAGAAGAATTCTTCCCCAGGGGGGGAAAAAATCATTTCTTAATAAAATCAACAATGATTAGTTACCTTTTTAATGAAGTTAAATATAATAAAACTCAAGAATAAGAAAAATGACACTGCACATTCCTTGACATTTTTCAAAAATGAAATGACATTCAGATATAAACTCCCCAAAACTACTGCAAGCTCTGCACTCCTATCCTACAAAGACGTTTCTGAAGCCTCCTGTAAAGCTGGAGGCTTAGATATGAATAATGCAGCAGGTTTTATATACATAAAATATAAACTCAGCTGTATATTTTAAATTATTCGTATTCTTTTCAGAAGTGGAATTTCTGTTTATATGTTCTGAAAAGGACTTACCTCAGCTTTATGTGTTGCAGAAAACATGGGTCTGTGGTACCTTGTACGCAATAAATGAAAGTTGAGAAGTAAAATAAAAGCACGGCGATTTTGCTAGTTCGTAGAGCTTGCAAGGTGTGCTTGTCATGTTGATAAACTTGGGTTTTTTTGCATATATTTAATTTAGAGAAACACTGGAACTCATGGTTCTGTGTGTGCATGTAACTTCAATTTCATAACAAGCTGTAGAATGAAAAAACCCTCACTGTAAGAAGTCTGATGGCAATATCTTTGCTAAATCCATCGTGTTTTTCTTGCCAAGTTAAAACGTCAAATACTTTGCTGTGGTCCCTCTCACAATTCTTTCTGTAAGGTAATGAAGTTAGTGATTGCCATCCCTCCAGTGGAAAATTATGTCTTTTTTGTCACCTGACTACTGCTATACATGTTTTCTTGAAATAACTGCAGGAAAAAAGCATTCCAACTAGAAAATTTGTGACAGATGTAGGCTTTTTGAACTGAGGGTTTTTTTGGACTAAATGGACAAGTTGCGGAAGGTTCTTACTGTCTTGGGACGGGGATTACATATTTCTCCTTGGTAATAGATAACTAACGCTGAGCCAATGAGCAATAGTTCATAAATTGTACATGATTTCAGAACAAGCCAATGAGACATAGACATTTGCTATAAGCAAAGAGCAGAAACCTCTCTGTCTGTTCTCCCTTAAAGGTGATCTTCGAGGCCGAGCAGAGATGCTGAATACAGGAATCCGTATTAGAAATGTGACTAGAAAGGATTCTGGGACCTACCGCTGTGAAATCAGTGCAAAGAGTGAAGAGGGGCAACGCCTGGGAGAGGCTACTATTACTCTCACAGTATTGGGTACAAACTTTATTACTTGGGCTTCTGTAAAGAAATTGTATGATGGTAAGGGGTGTTGAAGATAGGGTTGTCCATACGGTGTGTGGCTGCTGGGTTTTTGGGTCTTCTTTGGGCTGGGTTTATAAACACACGTGCACTTGCACATTCTACAACATACTTCATAAAACAGCTTTCCAAAATGCACACTTGCATTAGAAAGGAATATAACTAGGGTTTTGCTGATATAAATGTGGGTTTCAGTTCTCAAAACTTAGCAAGTACGCTGATTTATGTGATGGTGAAGCTTCCATTTCTACTAAAACTGAAGTCGCTCAGTAGCTGAGAATCTGGATAAGCTGATCATGGTGTTTGGCACTGGAAAGTCAGCATCTGTCAACACTTATCAAATATTCCTGAGCAGCAGTTCATTCCAATACGCTACAGTCTCCTCCTGTTTTTGGAAGGAGAAACTGCTGCAGTGTCTGCGCAATGACAGCCAGTGAGCTAGCAATCTGTGGACTTTATTTACAGGAGGGATGGTGTTGGCTTGGGGGGGTGGTTGTTCTTTGTGGTTTTTTGTTTGTTTTCTTTCCCAGTTGGGGAAAGGAGGGAAAAGTGACTACTGAGCACATTCTTCTTACATTGCTCCTGGTATTTTTCCCAGTGGATGAGTGCTAGAGGTTGGTAGTTTTCTTCTTTTCTCCGTATAGGGAGAAAATAAAATATTTGCTTTTGTAGTTTCTATATTGTTTTTTTCTATACAAAAATAATTGATCTTTTAAAATTATGAATAAAGTCTCAAAGTTCTTCATGAAGGATGATAAATTCATGAACTTCTGATTAGCTCCAACAATGAGGTAACCCCACTTATTTCTTCTTTCTTCCACTCTCTCAACAGCTTTCCTCTTTTAAATGTGGCTTCTTAATTTAAAGTTGAAATCTTAAAGCCAAAAGGAGAGAGAGAGTGTGTGTGTGTTGCTTACAAACCTTTTTGAAAGTTAATGTGAATTAATTAGTATTTCACTTGACTTTATTTTTGCTTTTTATTTTAAAATCAGCCAAGAAAAAACTGTGAATACTTGTTAAGGTGTCACTTGTGCTTTTCATGTTCCATGCATGCCTCTTCACCCTTAGTTTTCTTCTACATAGCTTCAAGTTACCAAATAAAAAAATTGAGTTCCTTTTCTGTTCACGTAATAAAAATCAGAAGAAACGTTCATCTTCATGGCAGAAGGAACAATCAGTTCTCCTCCATCTGTGTGTGGGAATGTTTGTTTTTAATTTAAACTGAAATTTAGTAGCCAATTGTTTTTGGTCCTCAACCTGGGATTTACACAATGGCTGTGATGATGGCCAGTCTTGGTAATTCTTTCTGACAATCATTTTTCAAAAACCAGTTGACTTTTTTTAATACAAAAAAATCTTTTTCCTCTTCCTCACTTCTGTTTTTAAATACTGGGGCGGGGAAGGGGGGAATTGCTGGACTACAGATTCCTTGAGTTATTCCTCCTCTGTCTGTGAGCAAGAGGCCCCATACAAGAAACGAGGTGAAACGAACTCTCTGGGGTTGGATGACGGTGTATAGATGGGAGACAGGGTGACACATCATGTGGTGGGGGAGGCTGGGAGCAAGCCTCTTTCTTCCATTTTTAGCAACTCACAAGTCTTACTGCGCTCGCCGGTAGCAGGACTCTGCCTTCAACCCCTTCTCCAGCACCTCATTTCATTAATGCAGTAGTTTCTAAGCATGTACACAAGTGCTCACCTCCTCACCAGTGACTGTCAAACTGTTGTCATATAGACAATACCGATAAGACTGTGTAACAAGTGCAATTTCATTGTCCAGTTGCTCCGACTACTCCGGTATGTGAGGTACCCAGCTCCGCAATGACAGGAACAGTAGTGGAACTGAGCTGTAAGGAGGCTGAGGGATCTCCTCCATCTGAGTACCAGTGGTACAAGAATGGTGTTGCCTTACTGGAAAAGACAGGAACAGGCAGTGCTAGAGGAGCAAACATAACTTACACCATGAATAAAAAGTCTGGCACTCTGGTAAGTGTAATAACCAACTCTGGCATAACCAGCTATCAAGAAGACCAAATTTACTGTTTAGTACAATGATGCACAGGGGTCTTAATCCAAAAATGCGCAAGGTCTTTGTCGGCGATCAATGTCATGCTGAAATTTGTGCTAACAAACATAGAAGGTGGTTTCTGCCTCAGACCAATGACAAGCCATAGACATTGGGTGATACAGACAAATTGGGCGAGTTGCAAGGCTGCAGTAATGATAAATGAGCAGAATCTAGAAAATACATGACAAGTTTCACCTTGTCAGCTAGCTAACTAGTGCCAGGTGAGAATGATCTCTCAGTATGTCAACAGAGTTACATTTGATAGCGCTTTAAAATCTGAAATAGCAACTTCACACACTTCAGTGGGAGTGCAGCACTAAGGGCAGTCCAGAATTTGTGCAATCCAGTGGCATTTACAAGTTCCAGTCCTGTACTTGTGAAGTCAGTGGGAATGAGTCGGGGCTGTAAGCTGTGGTTTTTTGTTTTACTTGTAGTTTGTTTTCTGTTTTTTTTTTTTCCCCTCAGAACTGGCCATCTCTTTCTCATCCCTCCCCCATTAGCTGATCCTTCTAAAAAAATTGATAAATACTACTTACGATGCATTGTCAGCTGAGATTTTTCAGAAGTAAAGAGTTGTTCTAGGAACACCCTACTCCTGTGCACAAACGTGGAAACTGAAATGTGACTAAGCATCCAGAGGTGCTGTGGATCTTTCGGTACACTGTGGAAATTAGGTGGACTACTCAAAATTACTGATCACTTCTGAAAATCTTAAAGTATGGGATCTATTAAAGAGAAAACAGTTAACAAGTCTAATGATTAAAAAAAAAATACAGAGAAACACTGGAACTGACATGAGGTCCGTCTCTGTCCATCTCTTGCTTCCTCATTTTCATTTTTACACTAACAGTATTTGACAAATAGTGCAGTTTAGCATTTCTCCATTGGAAGAAGAAAGAAAGTGCCATTTTGAGGGTGAGGGGGAACCACAAACTTTCTGTGGGAAATATTTTTTGTAGTACATGATTTTTTTTTTGGTAATTTTTTGTTGTTGTTTTTTGGTAAAATGAACAAAATGTCTGATTTCAGGGATTCTGAAGTTAGAGCACACCTAAGAAAATGCACTTTATTGGAAAGTACTGATCCACTGAAAAAGAATCTCCTTATAGATACACTCCATCTAGTTAAAATGTCCATCTAAAAGACCCTCTTAGACCAGAAGCTGAAGTTAAGGACCAGGGAATGGGACTAGGGAGCTGAATTATGAGGTCGAACTGGACCAGAATTTCTCACTCTTTCAGGTTTTTTTGTTTAAACAAACAAACAAACAAATGAACAAACCCTGTTGACATGTCAACATTTCTATCCCACAGGAAATTCTGAATTTTTTTCCATTCTGATAATGGTTTTGGACTCTGTCTTAACAGCTATTTAACACAGTTACAAAGAATGACACTGGAGAGTATTTCTGTGAAGCCTCCAATGGGATTGGATTATCTCAGAAATGCTCAGTGAAGCGAATGCAAGTTGGTATGTGTCAAAGAAAATAAGGGCGGAAAACAGTCTTGCAATAGGAATTATTTTATTGCATGATGCAACTGAGAAGCTAAGACCAGACGGAATTATACCTTTTTGTTTGATTATGGCATTTTGGGGGAGGAATAATAATAATATGAGTTCCTTATACGTAGTTGCTGTGGCTACTTAAAGCATTCCTTTCTTACAGCACAAATGTGTATCTCTGCATTTCAGAGAAAAGCAGCTAGTTTGGTACCTTAAAATTATTGCAGTAGCCAGCCTTTAGGTTGCTAAACACTGAACTTCAGTGGATACTTCAGCAGTATCCATATGAGAGCCTTAATATTTCAGAATGCTTTTGTGGAAGGTGTACAGGATAACGTGCCAGTCCACTGGGTTATTTTCTTTATGAAAAGCCTCCCTTTTGAGACGCATTCATGTGACATCTTAATCGTACAGATCAGAAGTTTAGCTGAATGACTCTTTTATACCTGCCAGAGGAACACTGAAGAAGTCAGCGTACCTTAGAAAAAAATACAAATAAAAAAAATCCTGCTGCCTGTTTCTTTTTTCTACTTGCACAGCGTAGGTGAAGTGTAACATTGGTTAGCTAAAACAGAACTTGGCAAAGGCTGGAGGGGCAGTCTATAATAACCCAAAACATATGAATGTTTTTGCAAAATTCTAGCAAAACTAGCTCTTGCAGATGTGATAGGGAAGCAGATGGTAACAAATCCTAACAAATACTGCACAGAAGTTCGTGTCCAAGTATTCCATGAAGCAATTGTCTGGTGCTTTCTTAGAACTTAGCTGAAAAACACTGTGTCACGG